TTTTTTTTTTTTTTTTTTTTTTAATGTAGGCCTTCTGTACATAGCCACTTCCTTGCCACAGGACAGTTAGGAAACATACAATTTTCTATTTTAAAGTCATAACAACTATGTAATAAATATAATTACCACTTACAGCTCCGTGTTTAGCAAATGAAATCATAAAAGCACCAGTATTCCTCTCTAGCCACCGCAAAAATATCACCCAGGATTAAATCTAATCTCATGCAGTCTGATCTTTAAGCCTGACATTACTCCCGGGATGACTTAGAAACTTTACATAACAACCAGAAAAAGACACACAGGTGGCATTGTGTCAGTTAATCATGTCAAGAAGCGGTGGTAATTTCTCCAAAAATGTACCCCGCCCTAACCACAGGGCAGAAGCGAATGCATCATCTGAAGAGTTTCTGAAGAATTACAGACTCACTTTACTCACGCACTAACTGAGAAAAGCCTAGAAGAGTCAGGACAAGTTATAATTTAACTTCCCCGAGAGAGAGACAAAGAGGAAGACTTGGTCTTTCAACTAATGGTTGTAAGTCCTGGCACAGGCATACACAAACTTTGACCCCAGTGTCGGCAAGTTCACATCATGATATAAGAATTTACAACCCTGAGTTCAACCAGGCGACACACACTCATCTACATCAAGGCTTTCTAAACAAACCTTATCAGAAATGTGTTTGTGATTTCCCTCGATTCGCTAAACGAAAGGTGATCTGAGGAAAAAGTGACAAAGCACTCAAGAGCTGCCAAATCTAAACTGCCTGCTTGGTCTGAGATTAGAAACATAAAAGAAAGCTAGAAAATATACACACATTTTAGCGTTCATGCTTTAAAAATAACAATCAAAAAACGTTGCCAACTAATTTTTAATCAGATAATCAGCTCTAAACATTAACACGCTTCATAAAACGTCTCTTATTTAAAGGTTTTAGACCTGAAATGTACACCAAGTATCATAAACTCTGTCCACACTGGATCCAGGCTTCATATTTTGCCTCTTAAACCCCTAGGTGAGCGGCATTTTGAGCCTACACTGCACATTATATGCATGTCAAGGTGCCGTTTTATCAGTGCTGTGATAGATTTTGCGGGGATGCTAAACATTCACAGACGAGGAAGGGAGGGGGGATCTGGGATCCTAGAGCTGCTAAACAGTATGTTAAGATACCTTTAAATAGAGCAAAAGTGAAACAGAAACATTACCACAATGTGAAAATAAAGAATAACAGAGAATAAACCTGATAGTTTGTTTGCTTTGAGCTTTATCGGTGGAAATGTGGTCATATAATATCAAACCTTGGGGGTTGCATTTCCTTCCAGACTCGTGACAGCTTATTTCTTCCTTATGTATTAATGAACTGGATGTCTATCAGGTGGAAACAGTTTAAAGCAAACGCATAAAGATGATGTTTGTGGCTCTTTCTTTACCTCTGGAGGTGTTGGGCTGTCGTCGGACCACTTGCTCCCGAGTGTCCCTCATCACGCTTTCCTCCTCTTCTTCTGAGCGTGCCTCGGCCATTTCTCCTTCTTCTTTTACTACCTTATTTTCTCACTTTGTCTTCCTCCTTCAAATTGCTTCTCCTGAGTGTCTGTGGGAAACTGGAGCTGTGTCAGAACAGAAGCAGCGGCGGCGACAGGCACATTATTTATTCTTCCTCTTGTTTTGGCTTCGTCGCCAACTTGCACCGCGAAAGCTCAAACACCGTCAACTTTAAAGCCCCAACATGACTTCCAGGGTTAGCTGAACACTTCCACCGCGTGTTCGGAAGATTTCGAGGCGAGAAAAAGCAGTCTGTAAAGTCTTATTATACAGACAACAACTATCTTTGCGGCGAGTTTCAGATGACACTTTCTCCAAGCTTCCCTGTTTTCCCTGGTCGCGAGCTCGGCGCTCTCCGACGCCGTGACGTCACCAACAGGGAAAAAAAACGCGGAGAAGAAGAATAAATAAATATGGAGGACTAAACGTTTAGTTTAGTTAACTTAACGTCATGGTGTGCGGCAG